GTTCATTTCCCTGTTCCAGAGACGCCCGCAGTGAAAAACCTTTTGAAAAACACCTCTGAGCCACCTTACACCTCAGTCCTCACTGGAGTGACAACTGTGTATTAATCCTCGACAGGAAATAGTATGTATATTGTATTTAGTCATGTTTGCTATGACAGTATAATGACAGTACCCAGCTGCTTTTAGTTTTGATCTTTGTCGACAGTATAAGAATATAAAGCAGAGTTATCCTCGAAAGGAAAACATTTAGAGTACCTGGTATAGCTCGGTTCAAGCACATGGATTTGGCCCTCTTTTTGAAAATGATTGGTTCGAGGGAGTTTTGACGACGTTAATCCATAGCTGTGAATCTACAATGTGGCGCTGACACTGCCAGCAATAGGAGTCGGATTCCCGCCAGACCGCACTGTGCTCTCACAGCATTGTAAAAACCTCCATCGGATGAAAGCTGCCAACAAAGGACCTTATATGTTATGTTATAATAAAGTGAGATCAAATAAATGGCAGGGCCAGAGGAATTGCTCTGGGATTGCACGTGTTTGGTTAACGCCAAACAGATGTCGGCGTACTGTATGATTACTGCATTATAGCATGGATTGTATACCCACTCAGACAGGAAAGAGATGGCAGCTGTTAGCCATCAGCACGGAGGCGCAGCGAGCCCCAAACTGCAGGCCGCAGCCGTGCCTACTCAAACACACATCAATGTATGCACATGTTTTGCAAAATATACATGCCATGTAGCCGGATGTGCAGACGCCCGGGAGCATGTGGAGGCACGAACGGACACAAACGCACTCACAAACTTAATCCCTTTTATCTGGGTAATCTGATGTTTAACGTCGGGACCCACCGAACGCCCACTGCCGCCTTTTAAAAAGTGCAGAGCTTCGGCTAAATAACGTAAACATCCTCAGATGACTGCTGCCCCGCGTCGTAATTTTCTTTTCATAACAGAGCCTGGTTATTTCAGGGCTCTGGGTGACCCTGAAACCAGAAGTTTCCTCACTCCTCCTCTGTTGTTATTTAAGGACAACTTGTGTTTCCCTTACTGCTCTCTCTCTCTCTCCCTCTCTCTCTCTTTCTCTCTCTCTCACTGGGTGTGGTTTTTTGCAAGAGGCAAACTTGGGTGAATGATGTGGACTCTCCCCACAGTCATAGCTTTTGAATCAATCCACACCCTTCAGCTAAAAGAGGAGTTTGGAGGAGGTGGAGCAAAGCTAGCGCTCGGAGCACACTTTAAGCTCGGAGGCTTTTGGAGGCAACATGTTCGTACGCTGTGACCTGCGCTGTGGCTCTGCTGCACTCTGTGACTTTTGGATCTCGCCAGTGAAAGCTTGCAGAGGTTTTTTTTTTTTTATAATTGCTTCCCACTTTCTTTCTGTTTTGTTTTTTCTCAGCCTTCACTCAAAGATGTGTGAGTATAAGAATCATTTCTGCTTGACTGACGTCTCAGAGGTGAGTGAAGTTTGCAGGTGGTGGCTGTTGTTCAGGTGAAAATAAAAGTTTTGGGAGTTTGGAAGTTTTAGGGAAGTGCGACTTTATAAAATGGTCTTTTTCTTGACTTCATATGGTGGAAAAGTTTCAAAAGTTTAGAGTAATGTGAGAATGTTGTGTTTTCTAAGTTTTAGAGTCATGAATATCACACCCCGAGATTCATTTTCTTTTACTTTTAGTCTTCTGCATATTAGTCTTTTGTTTCACAGTTGCTGTTTCATCAGGGAACATGCACGTGAAATGACTTAAGGGGTTGAAACTTGCATAACAGAAATTAAGACATGACGACACAAAAGACATAAAAAATTAGCATCAATAATTCTCACTTTTAAGCTTCTGATCTGAAGGTTTAAATCTCAAGTTTGTGTTCTGGTAGAAACTCCCATGACGTGGAAGTGTGAACTGATTTCGATGTTTGTAGATGAGAAAATATTAATCAGTTCAGTGTTGTACGTGGTGGACTTGAGAAAGTTCAACTCTAACTATTTTAACGCTGCCAAATTTATTTTTGTCAAAGTTTCTTATTAATCTCAGACTCATGACTAGTCTTTTTCGTTTGCAAAAACTGAAAAAGTTTCCTTTGTCTGCCCTGATGAGAGTATAATTAGCTTCTCCATTCATCGTTTCTCTGGCCTTCCTCTGTTCTGGCCAATTAACAAATGTTATTTTTCAAAAAGAAGGATTCCCTTTCTTCAGGGTGAATTTCATGTTTAGTGTCAGTGGAGGCCGATCGTGTTCAACCGCAACTTTAACTGGTGGGATACGTTCGTTTGGAGATTTGGTTATTTCAAGAAGAAAACGTCCAAACAAAGAAAACTTGCAACATGTGGCTTCGCTGCTCTTAGTCTTCCTTCCTCTGTACGTTAAAAGTTGGCACAGATGAAGGAAGTCGCCAGTCTCTTTCACCTGACATCACTTTTCAATCACACACACACACGCAGGTCTCCCTCCGATTCACTGCCTGCCCATTTAGCTTTTCAAGTCTATCTGGGTTACCTCAGTGAGCAGTAAAAATCAAGCTGATACTGTCCAGAAAACTGGACACACACACACACACACACACACACACACACACACACACACACACACACTCACACACACACACACACACACACAACCGAACCCAGAGACACACAAAGAGCATGATAGAA